CTCCCCCCGCTTCAGGGCCATCTCTGGCCCGGGGGAGGAGGCAGGACTCAAGCCTTTGCTCCGGCCACACGTCCTCAGACGCTCCCCTTCTCATGGCTTTGCCCACTGCCATGTCCTATTCTGTGGGTGTGCTTCTACCTCTGCCGGCTATCTCTCCTCTCTTCTCTGCACTGGTTTCCTCTCTCCAGAGCAGACTTCTCTGCACTTGCCCTCACTCCTGTCTGCCCCCCTCCCGCTGTGCCCTCTTCCTGTCCTGGGAGGGGGGAAAGGAGAAAGCACAGCATGGCAGGTTGAGTCAGCCCTGGAAATCTCGGCCTCCACACCCCAGGTCCCTCCGCAGAACCCCCAGCCCGAGGGCCCAGACCCCTCACACAGCACAGAGAAGGTGGTGCCTCATCTTGCCAGGGCCGAGGGGCTTGGCAACATGAAGTCGCAGGCCCAGGGAGAGTGGTCCCCACCTGTGTTTTCCTCTGGCTCTCCTTACTGTAGGAGAAGCCAAGCCTTGGAAGCCATGTGGGAGCTGAAATATAACAGGCCAGCTCATCTGGGTGGGAATCTCCCCTTAGCCCCATGCTGGCTCTTTTACCGTGGGCAAGTTGCTCAGCCTCTCTTAGCCTCAGTTTCCGGCTCCGTAAAATGGAGCCAATAATGCCCATCCAAATAGTGTTCTTGCAGGTATAAGAAAACCAAGAAAGCGAAAGGATCCAGTGAAGTCTATGACACAGGCAGAATCAGAATAGATTTCAGCATCTTCCTTTCTAACTGTCCCCAACAGCCAAGTGAGAGCCTCGGAGAAGTTCCAGTGATGGGCAGGAGCCCGATGCTCTGTCCCCTGGATATGGTAGGAGGATCCCACATTCCTGCTAGCTGCTGGGAGGACGGAGGAGGGAGAGGTGGTCTCTTTCTTCAGGCTGGTGATTTGGGTCCAGTGGCTTCCATCCACCACAGTAGTGGGGCTGCCCTTAACCAGTGCCCAGAGCAGCTTAATCTTTAGGGTGAGAGTGCCTTTGACTTAGTCCATGACAACTCGGAGACCCCCCACAACCTAAATCTTTAAGGTGTTAGGGCATTCATTACCTCATCTGTCAAGTAGGGTTCCCAGACCTTTCTCTGCCTGTGATGGTCTGCACCCAGGACAGTGTCAGGCGTGAGGAATGGCAGAAACAGTCTGGGCTCTGGGGGTGACCGAATGTTGCAGAATCTTTGCCTTTCGATATGTCCAGCCTTGTGGGGGAAATGAAGGGGCTTCAGAGCTCCTTCGGTCAAGGGTCAGCAGAGTCACAGGGTGATCCCCACCCAGCCTAGCCCTGCCGGACAGGAGGCCGTGAGGTCCAGGAGGCCCCTGGAGGAGGCAGGGGCATCTGAGGCCTGAGTAAGCGGAAGGGGTGGGTTCAAGGCCACACCACTAGAGAGTTCTGACCAGATCGAGGGCCAGGTCCTGAAGGGGGTTGGATGGACACAAGAGAGGGCATCCTGTGGGGGGGGACACCAGTTCAGAACTAGAGGGAGGGAAGCAGGTGCCCTGTGGGACACCAGGAGGAGCAGCGTGGCTGTTTAAGAGTTAGGAGCTACCTGATGAAGGGCCTCTCCCGCTGGGCCTCACCCTCCAGCTATAGGCAGCAGGACTCGGAACACATGGTGCCCATGGGGACCAAGTGCCCTCTGTGTGTCAGGCTTTGGGGGTGTCTTTCAGTAGCTGGTGTCTGGCCCCTGAGAAAGCAGGACTGCCGGGATCGTCCATGTTGCCCTCCGTCCCTGTTCTGGGTTGCAGTTTATAGATGGGAAGCCCGAGGCCGGGCTTGACTCCGCAGCTGGAGAGGAGGGAACACGGCGTGTCCAGTCCCCACAGGCCGTGGAGAGGGCTGAGAGGCAACTCGCCTTTCACCTCCATGGCCGGAGCTCCTTGGGGCTTCGGAGAGGAAACAGCTTGCTGCCGCACCCGCCCTTTTAGCCAGCCGGCAAGCAGGACTCGTGGCCCTCGGGCCTGGCTGTGTGCCCTGGTCTGTGCCCCGGGCTGCTCTGGGCCTCAGTTTCTCCATCTGGAATGTGAGAGCAGTTGGGTCAGCTGTCTGCTCTGTCCTTCCTGCTCAAAGGTGGTGTCCTCTTGAGTTGGGGAGCCGGAGCCACCAGAAGGGACAGGCCAGAGCACCCAAGGGAGGGGGGAGAGGCGGTGAAGAGGAGAGCTCTAACTGCGCTTCTCTCCCCGGAGCTGCTCATGGGACAGGAGCTGTGACCCTCGTGAGGTGGGGGGTGCGGGCGTCAAGCTGCTGGGGAGAGGACAGGCTGCTCGGAGGCCTCTGGCTGCCCAGGGACGCCCGAGGGGTCACCCGTGGGCAGGGCAGTGTGGCCACAAGACGGGGGAGAGGCTGTTCAGGGTGTAATTAATGCACTTTCTGGCACCCACCAGACTTCCCTTTCCTCTTGACAGTTTGCTGCCAAAACAGTCCTGATTCCTGTGAACTTGCTTAAATCTTATCCAGAAAAAAAAAAAAAAAAAAAAAAAAAAGAAAGAAAAAAAGAAAAGAAAGAACGGGGGAAAAAATGAAGAGGGTTGTTATTTGTGAAATTGCATTTCCCAGCCATGAGGGTGAGTCACACCATTTGGAGCTTGGAGTTTCTTGTTTGGTTGAACTTTTCTCCGGGAGGCCGTGGTGATGCTGTCCTCCCTCAGGCCAGTTTGGGTGAGGAGGGGCCTCCACTCAAGCTAAGGAGAAACCTGGGTGGGTGGAAAGTCCAGGTGCTCCTGAGGCCAGGTAGGGCCTGGCGGTCGGGATAGACGGCCCCGGGAGCTTGAACATGCAGATCTGGGCTGGGGGAGGGAGGAGCGGGGAGTTAGTGTGTCAGCGGGAGAAGAGTTGCAGTTTGGGATGATGAAAAAGTACTGGAAATGGATGGTGGTGTTGGTCTCACAGTCACGGGAATGTACTCGGTGCCATGGAACCGTATGCTTAAAAACATAATTAAAATGGTCGACTTTATGTAATGTATTTCTTACCACAATAAAACGGTAGGTTCTAGGCTCTCGGTCCCAGGTGACCGACTGCTTTGGTAGGTAGGTCTGAGGTGGGGCCTAGAAAAGTGTATTTGTTAAAAGTTTCTCAAGGCGTTCAATGCAAGTTTGGACACACTTGCCTCCTCTGTAAAATGGGATAGTGACTCATAGGGTTGTGGTGAGCATCAGCTATCTTAGTAAGTGTACAGTTTCCAGTACCTGGGACATTGTAAGTGCTCAGTAGATGTGACTGGTATCATCGAATCCCATGACCATTGGACCCCTCCGCACAATGCTTAAGGTTGTCCAGAATCAGCTCGCACACCTCCAGGGATGGGAGACTGTCTGCCTGTCAGAAGGGACCACTCTCTCGGCTCCTCTGAGAGCTGGAGAATTGCCCTCACACTGAATGCAAGTTTGTGTGGTATTTTCCACTGGTCCTGGGTTTCGTGGTAGCCCTGGGCAGTGGTAGAGTGGAGATGGTCATCAGCAGCCTTTGAGTTTCGTGCCCAGACATCATAGGCTGACTGACTATGTGTTTGGCCTGGATGCCTTGGATGTGGTATCTGTGTCTTTTTTTCCAGATCTTAGGCTCCAGTCTGAACCTATAGGAGAGGGAAAAGAGGCCTGGAGAGGGAAAGGACTGGCCCCAGGCCACATAGCAGAGTGTCCAGGGAGCCAAGAAGAGTGGTGGTCCCCAGATGGTGAGGGCTGTGTCCTCTAGGAGGGAATGCCAGGCCCCAGAGATGGAACAAGTAGGGAGGCTGAGGTATACATGTGTGAGGGGTGGCATCTGTCCTGGTTGGGAGAGGGGTACTTGATCTCCTGGGGCCTGCTCTCAGCTCCCCTCCCTCCCTGCCCACACTGAGGGGACACAGGCAGGACTGTGCCCACTCTGAGCCTCCACCTGCCCCATCTTTGTAAGGGAACCTGAGGCCACCTCCTCTCAGGGGCTCTCTTCCCCTAGCGGCCTGGGGACTTCCAGGAACAAGGCTGTCTTCCCATTAGACTCAAGGCTCCCCAAGGTCTATGGTTCCCTCCTGGAGTCCTTGAGCACTTGAGCTGGGACCAGAGGATGCCCAGGCCCCATGCCCAGGTTTGTCATTGACCCTCCTGCAGGAGCTGCCTCTTTACAACCTTGGCCTTGCCCCAGGAAGAGGGGACCATGGCTGTTCCCTGCCAGCTTCACCACAGGCCCCACCTTTGCCAAATTCCAGTGTGCCTGGCTGCCCAGAGCCCGTGACTCCTATAAATAGAGGCTGTATACACCAGGAGGGGGCCTGGGCCGCATCTGCTTTGAAGCCAGGCAAGACATCTGGTTCCTGTCAACTGGAGGTGGGAGAGGTGGGCCGCTTCCTCCCAGGCTCCCAGAGGGCGGGCCTGGGCCAGCCCTGGGGCTCCCCGGACACAGTCTGCACGGGCCTCATGCCACAGGAGACCAGGCAGAGCGCTGAACCTCAGTCTTCTCTTCTGTACAATGGAAACAATCCTACAAGCCGATGCTCCTCTTTCTTGTAAGATGGGGAAACTGAGTCAGCTCAGAGCTAAGTGACTTGTTTAAAGCCCTAGTAAAAGGCAGAGCCCCAGATCTAACAGGTGGCTTTCTGCTATGCCTTCTTACCTCCTGGCAAGAACTAATAATCCTCTTCCACCTCCTCCTCCCCCGCCTCACTGCTTACTGAGTGGTTCCTAAGTGCCAGGTGGGAGATAAAGGGACCTCACTTTAGCCTCATAGGCACCCCAGGAGGTGGCTATCGTTACTTCCGGTTTTCAGAGGGGTACTCTGGGGCCCAGAGTGGTTCACTGGCTTGCCCACGGACGTACAGCTACAGTTAGAACATGAACTCAGGCTCCAGGAGGCCGGAGCCCCCAGGCGGCTCGGGAGTCAGTGTGAATTCAGGAGCGTGCATGTGCGTGTGCGTGCCCGTGGACATTGCCCTGAGGCCACAGCCGCAAATGAGCTGCAAATGAGGCCTGGGCAGCCCTCACAGCCTCTGTCTCCCCACAGGCGCCAAGCAGCAGCATGTACAAGAGCGCCTCGCCCTACGGCTCCCTCAACAACATCGCCGATGGCCTCAGCTCCCTCACTGAGCACTTCTCGGACCTGACCCTCACCTCTGAGACCCGCAAGCCCAGCAAGCGGCCCCCACCCAACTACCTGTGCCACCTGTGCTTCAACAAAGGACACTACATCAAGGACTGCCCCCAGGTAAGGCGGCCCCGCTTCCCTGGGTAGAACAGGCCCAACAGCCCCCCACCCCACACACTCCCTGCCCCAGGGCCCCTTCCCCAAACAAGTGGCCCTGTGGTCCTCTGGTCTCTACCTATTTCTCCCCTCTGGTATTTCTGAGGCAAGGTTGGTTGGCGTGGTTGGGACAGAGCCCCAGCCTGGGCCTGCCCTGGCTAGTGAGCAATTGGGGTGAGGGCCGCCCGAATGAGGTTCCAGGCCTTCACGTCTCCACCAGTCTTCCTGCCAGGGTGCAGCCTGTTACAGTGGGGCAGGACGGGGGCCAGCAGCCTCCTCGCAGCTCTCCCGAGAGAGACCCCATCTCCTCACACTCACAGGGAAGGAATGCGGGCTCTGGGCCAGGAATCCAGATGTGTACCCCCTCCCCCAGACCCCACTTCTCTCTCCTCCGCTGTAGTGCTTCCTCAGTCTCCTGCCTGTGAGAGGGGAGGTGAGAGGTCCTTGCCCCCCTCTTTGTGTCTCCAGGGTAGGTCTGGGTGAAGGCCTCAGACACCGCAGGCTGGGCATCTCTCATGGGGTGGGAAGGGGCCAGGAGATCGGGAGTGCGGGGAGCAGCCCCTGTCTCCCACCCAGTGCTTCGCTGTGACAGCATGGGGCTCCTGGGGTCAGATCCCACTCACAGAATGACTCCTGACTCCGAAAGACATGGCTTTGACCTCCTGGGGAGAGAGGTTAAGGTCGTTTTAAATACAGTACAAGATGGATCCATGATTCTTTTTCTTACTATTTTTTCATATTTTCTAATGTTTTTATAATGTGTATTTTTACTTTTATTTTACATATGTAATGGAAATGGGATCTTGGAAACTCAGAAAATCCATGTAGTCTTACCCTCCAGATGGTGGAAGCCCAGGCTGTGGTTGGGTGGGGCTGGGTGCCTCCGGACCAATGGAGGCCGAGATGAGCTTGTTGCTCTTTGCTCCTCTCAGAAATAGCTGTGCCATGCTTTAGGTCCTTGCTGCATCAGTGTCATCTGGGAGCTTGTTAGAAATGCAGAATCTTAGGCCCAACCCATAACTACATTTTAGTAAAAGTCCTGGGGATTTGTATATACCAGTGATCTCAGCCTCCACTTACCCTTGGTCAAGAGAAGTCCGCCCCGACCCTGAGTATGGGAGCTGGCCCACTGATGGCTGTCCTCCAGACCCCACACTCTAGTGGGCCCTGTCTGCCCTCAAGTATATGCAGTAAACGAGGGGCCCTTGGCATGAGGAGATTCAGCACAGGGTAAGGCCCCTACCCCCCAGGGGTTCTCCGGATGGGATGAGGAGCAAACAGACAGCTAGGGATCTGGTTTGTCCTCAAGGATGTGCCCCTGGCCTACCCAGGCAGCAGCCCCTTGTACCTTCCCCAGCTGAGCCCCTGCGAGGGGACTCTCACTTACTGTACCTTGGAAACTTCCCTCATCATCTCCTGCCTACAGCCTGTGCTCACAGTTACCCAGTGTGTCAAGTCTCTCATTAGCCTCTTGTTATATAATGCTTTGAGTGAGTCAAGCACTCATACAGAATCGTTGAGCCAGTCTTGGAGGTGCCGGAATTTTAACCCTAGCCAGCAGGTGACATTCAGACACCAACAGGGGCTCTTGGGGCTCTGAGGAGGTGTGCCTGTTCTGAGCTGGCAGCCTGGGAAAGCTTTCAGGAAAAGGACGGCTTGAGTGGGCTTGGCAGGTTGTTGGAAGAAGGGTGACCAGTATCCAAAGGCAAGGGATGATGAGGCAGAGGGGGAGGGATGGTGAAGGTGTGTGTGTGTGAGTGTGTGTGCATGCCTGGGCCCTCTACTAAATGTGGGGGCAGACGGTCCCTGACCTCAGTGCCTCTTGATTTCCAGCATAGTGCAAACCCCGGTTCTTCCTTTATATTCCTTTATATGGATTACATAGTGTCTTCACTCTGCAGAAGAAGTACCGGCCCCATTTTACAGGTGAAGAAACAGAGTCTCAGAGAGCTGAAGTGCTGGGGAGAGGGCAGAACGTCTCTGAGAACCCCAGTCTTGGGACCTCCGTGCTCTTTGCTTTCTTGAGCATCTATACCAATCCAGGCTGAGACGCTCATGGCCTGTGGGGCCTCAGTTTCCCTCTTGAGCTGGTAGAGGCCCTCTTCCAGCTCCGCCTCAGACCTGATTCTATCAGAGACTACTGCAGGCCCAAGGACTTCCTCCACCTTTCATGAGAGTTTCATCAGCTGTAAAACAAAGCTGATGAGAACACTAACACATAGCAATGTTGTGAGGATTCAAGGAAGGAATGCATGGAAAGTGCTTAGCACAGTGTCTGGTAAGCACTTAATAAATGTTGGCGAGCATTATTTTTTTCTCCCTTGGGTAACAATGGAGAGTGTGCCTATTTGGCAAGGTAGAAGGTATTTTGGCAGGCTGGAATATAATTAGATGTTCCCCACCCCTCAGCTGACTACAAGCTCCAGGGGCAGGTGCTGGGCTAGATTCATCTCCGTACCCCCATGCTGGCCCAATATACCACACACAGCAGGTGCTCAGTATAAGTCTTCCGGAATGAAGGAATGGGCAGACAAAGCTTTTATAAGCCATGGAAACCTCTGTTTCAAATGAAATATTATGAGCTCGGCATATATAATATTTAAAAGTGGAGTGGGAATGCTTGTTTTGGTAAGACCTTTAGTGAGATATAATTCACATACCATATAATTGACCCATTTAAAATGTACAAGTCAATGATTTTTTAGTATATTCACCGAGCTGCTCAACCATTACCACAATTATAGAACACTTTTTTAAAAGATTTTATTTATTTCAGTAATCTCTACACCCAGTGTGGGGCTTGAACTCACGACCCTGAGATTAAGAGTTGCATGCTCTACCGACTGAGCCAGCCAAGTGTCCCAATTGTAGAACATTTTTATCACCCCAAAAAGAAACCTCATACTCTTTAACTATCACTACCCCCTGGTTCCCCAACTCCTAGGAACTCATATTCTACTTTATATCTCTATAGATTTGCCTATTCTGGACGTCTCATAAAGATAGAATCATATAATATGCGGTCTTTTGTCACTGGATTTTTTCACTTAGTATATTGCTTTCAAGTAGTAATTACCAGTTCCATGATTTGGGAAGTGTTCTATCCTGTTCTATTTTCTGGAAGAGTTTGTGAGGAATTAATATTAATTTTTCTTTAGGGGCACCTGGGTGGCTCAGTCAGGTGAGCGTCTGCCTGGGATTGAGCCCCACATCGAGCTCCTTGCTCATCAGGGAGTCTGCTTCTCCCTCTGCCCCCGTCATGCTCTCTCTTTCTCTCTCAAATAAATAAATAAAACCTTTAAAAAAATAATTCTTCTTTAAATGTTTGGTAGAATTCACTCGTGAAGCCATCTGAATTTGGGTTTTCTTTTTTGGGTAGATTTTTAGAATTATGAATTCAATCTCTTTTTGTGTTATAGGTCTATTCAGATTTTCTATTTCTTCTTGAGTCAGTTTCTGTCGTTTGTGTATTTTGTAGAATTTGTCTGTTTCATCTAAGTTATCAAATTTATTGGCATACAATTGTTTGTAATATTCTCTTATAATCATTTTCATTTCTGTAAGGTTGGTTATAATGTCCCCCTCTTTTCTTCCTGATTCTCATAATTGAGTCTTCTCTCTTTTTTTTTCCTTGGTAAATCTAGCTAAAGGTTTGTCAGTTTTGCTGAACTTTTCAAAGAAACAAATTTTGGTTTATTTGACCTCCTGTACTGTTTTTCTGTTCTCTATTACATTATTTTTCACTCAAATCTTTTAAAAAATTGTGGTAAAATATATACAACATAAAATTTACCATCTTAATTATTCTTACATGTCCAATTCAGTGGTATTAAGGAGAGTTGACCCTTGAATCATTTTGGTTTGAATGTATACATAGATTTTTTTCGGTAAATACAATATAGTACAATAACTATGTTCTCTATGATTTTCTTAATAACATTTTCCTTTCTCTAGCAAACTTTATTATATACAATATAGAATACATGTAACATGCAAAATATGGGTTACTTGACTATTTATGTTACTAGTAAAGCTATTAGTAGTTAAGTTTGGGGGGAGTCAGGAGTTATACACAGATTTTTGACTGCTCCGGGGTTTGGCACCTCAAACCCCACGTGGTTCAAGGGTCAACTGTACATTCACATTGTTGGGCAACCATCACCACCATCCATCCATGGAACTCTCTTTTTTTTGTGAAACTCTGTACCCATTAAACGATAACCCCATCTCTTTCCCTCCCCCAGCTCCTGGCAACTACCATTCTACTTTCTGTTGCTATGAATTTCACTACTCTAGGGACCTCATATAAGTGGAATCACACAGTATTTGTCATTTTGTGATTGGCTTAGTTCGCTTAGCATAATGTCCTTAAGGTTCATTCACGTTGTAACACGTTTCAAAAGTTCCTTCCTTTTTTTTTTTAAAGATTTTATTTTTATTTATTTGAGAGAGAGAGAGAGAGAGAGAGAGAGAGAGAGAGAGAGAGAGACAGCATGAGAGGGGAGAAGGTCAGAGGGAGAAGCAGGCTCCCCGCTGAGCCAGGAGCCTGATGTGGGACTCGATCCCAGGACTCCGGGATCATGACCTGAGCCGAAGGCAGTTGCTTAACCAACTGAGCCACCCAGGCACCCAGTTCAGTTCCTTTCTTTTTTAAGGCCAAATAACATTCCTGTGTGTGTGTGCCTGCATGTATGTAGACCACATTTTGTTTATCTAATTATCCATCAAAGGACAGCTGGCTTGCTTCCACCTTTTGACTATTGTGAATAATGCTTCTATGAACATGGGTGTGCAGATAGCTCTGAGTCTTTGCTTTCAATTCTTCATTCTAATCTTTATTATTTCCTTCCTTCAGATTGTTTTAGGTTTAGTTTGCTCTTCTTTGACCAATTTCTTGAGATGGAAAGTTAGGTTACTGATTTTACATCTTTCTTCTATTTTTAATGTAGATATTCACAGGTATA